AAAAATGGTTGCCATCAGGGGTGTACATGTAGATTTATTAAATACACCTTGTGCGCCACCTAGGAACCAAATCTAGAACCCGACACTCGAAATTTTTGCTCTGTTACAATCGTACCCTGTTACAATTGACCCCACTCTCCCCTACGCTATATTTTAAAAGCAGTAGTGTAGTGAGTAGGGCAAAAAAAAAGTAGTTTGTAGCGATTCTTGTAACGTTAGTTCGATAAGGAAACTAAGCTCTAACTCAAAAAAAAAAAAAAAATTCAAATCTGATTGCTGCAAATTCTTCTCTGGCCCGTCAACGTACACAATGAGGATGCCTCTGTGGCCCAGAGTCAATAAGATCTACGTCTGATGGTCGGAAAAATGGGTGCGAAATCTCCCTATTAGCAACATGCAATACACAGTGTTGTCTAACGAACAATTGTTTTCAAGTCATACAGTATTTAAGAAAGCAAATACTTTTAATTCTAATTATTAGAAATGTCCTCATTCCATTTTTTGCGCAAACATTTTAAGTTAAAATTCTTTTAACTACTTTAACGACAAATCATGCTCCATTGAAGGCATGATTATAAATATAAAAAGAGGATATCTATACTTTACTAGAATTGCTATTAACTCATTTTTCAACTATGGAGGAAGGAAAAAAAATACCTCATTCAGTGTTTAACAAAGAAAGAATTCCTTTTGAAACAGTTCCAAATTGTTCATAAGTGTTAAATTAAATGACATTGGGACGCGTTATGAAACTGAATATGAACTGCTAGACAATATGTCTAGAAACTCTATTCATATCTATTTCTTTCCCCTTGACTGCCAAACATAATAAAAAAAAATTTTAATGAAATGTTCTTTTTTACATTGTACGAAAAATGGACTGTTATTGCAAAAAGAAGACGAAATATTATTAGAATTTTCATATAAATACAAATAGTGAATGCGCTAGTCGTAATCCTGTTTTTACAAACCTTTAAAATTTTGCGACTTTATTTTTAAACCAAAAACTGTCGATTTATTTCATGTTCTTTTCTTTTTTCATTTTGCATTGTTTACATTTAAAACTCTTTCGGCAACAGACGAAAATTCTCAGCTATTTTTTTAATTTCTTCGGGAATTGGAATTACATCAACAAAAAATATTTCGAAGCATCAAGCGATTAGTCATGAAATCAAAATGAAGAATCTTATTTTTAATTGAGATTTTGCACCAAAAATTTAAATAGATATCATTTTCATTTGCCTTCATTCTCCATCAAAGGAAAATATCTTACTTTATATTAAAATCTAATAATGGTGTAGCAGTTTAAAATTTTTGTCCATGCATTTTTATTGGTCGGTAGGATCCAGTTTTTCCTCATTCATTTCCATATTGTTTAGCTATCAGCATGAAATTAATAAAATTCATAAAGGTATTGTTTTTCTAAAAACTAGTGGTCTGCGCCCCCTGCTCGCAACGCTCGCCAACCCCCGAAAATTGCTTCGTAATCCTATATGGTTTGCTTCGCAAACCAATCTCGCTTCGCTCTCTACTAACTTAGGTACATTGCAAATGCACAAAATTCTAAGAATTCAAATCCATATAAAAACTTTTTTTTTTGTCTTTCTTTTTTTTAAATTACATCTTTTTAGTAAATACTAAGTCATTAAAATAGATTTGAATTCAAATAAATGACATGTAATTCGTTAAAATTATTAGAAATGTGCTATAGTATAATTCGTGATATAAATCAAAAATCGTCAAGTAAATTCGTAATATATAAATTCGTGAAAAAAAGGGCTTTCGACAAAATACTAAAATAGAGATCTATCGACAAAAACTACTCACTTCTGCCTAGCTTAATAGTATGAGATTGCCGCTGCTGATGCTCTCTGGTTATTTCAATTTCCGTTTTTAAAAGCGCTATATGTTGAGCCACCTCAGCTAGATTTGGTATGTGACATTTTTAGCGGCAATCATTGGTCGATTCGCCGTGTAAGAGAAATAGTAGCGTAAACAAAACAAAGCAAACGTTGCCACCGGCGGAAAAGAAATACAGCCAAAATTTGGGAACCACGTTAGAGAATTATATATATTAGATGTTCTTGTATCCCCAATGTAAAGTTATTTTCCTGTACTGCTATTATTACGCTTTTAATTCAAGAGTTTGTAACCAAGAGTATTGTTTTTTATTATTATTATGTAATTCTACGCTACATTTTAATGTAAAGTTATTTAGAAAAGTGGTCTAATCTTATTAACCCGTTTTACAATTATTATTTTTGTGCAAATAACGTTAATTTGCTGTTATAAATTACAGTTGAAGAGTTCTGTTAAATGATTTAGAATTTAACGATCAGCTTCTTCCACAATAAGACGCAAGCAAAAATAGTAGGGGAGAGTAGGGTCAATTGTAACAGGGTACGATAGTAACAGAGCAAAAATTTTGAGTGTCTGGTTCTAGATTTGGTTCCTAGGTGGCGCACAAGGTGTATTTAATAAATCTACATGTACACCCCTTCTGGCAACCATTTTTAAGTACTTTTAAAAGAGTTACATCACAAAAGATATTTTCACGTTACGTAAGTACTTTTTTTGGTATTAGAATATTATATTGTAACAAAGTAATTTTGTTTAAACAAATTAAAATTATTAACCGAATATGTAAGTGGACACCTTAATTAACATTTCAAAAAAAAAAGATTAGTTTTGTTAATTAACTAGCATTGTTTTTAACAAATGAAGCTGAAATGGCGTCCTGGGGACGATTGTGACAATAAGTAAAGGGACGATTGTAACAGCTGAAAATAAATAATCTTGTGTTTACAAACTCTTATTACTTAACTCTTTAAGAACCACCAATAGTTTCCTATATCATTTATATTATGTTGCATGTGCATTATTTTATTTGTCACCTTTCACAGCATAAATTAAAATTTTTAGCCCCTTAAAGTTAAAAGTTTAACCCTTTAGGTCTCTGCTCATTATTATTTCTACTCCTAAAATATCTCTACTATTTTGATCAATAAAAAAATATATCACAACTATGATAATGTGTATAATTAACTATGTTTTAGTTGAATTTATGAACTGTTACAATTGACCCCGTAAGTGGGGACAATTGTAACAAGTGCACGACTGTCAAAAAATTTTAATAACTAATATAATAGCATTTAAAATAAGGTATTTATTTTTTTTTTCTAGCAGAGGATAGTCTACTTTACTCGTCTGTCAATTAATACTAATAATATATTGGATTTTTTTTTTAGTTAAAAATAGTTAAGTAGAAAATGTTACAATCGACCCCACTCTCCCCTATTTAATATATCCGCCCGTTTGGTAAGCGAAAATATTAAATTATAGTTGTGAGCTCATCAAATTTGTTTGAACAATATAATGTTATAAGAAGATAAATGTTACTTTTAAAAATGATTACTCAGAAAAAGTACTTCTGTTCTCCAATAGATCTAAATATTTATAGTAGTAATGGTTATATTTGCACGTGGGAAAGTGGAGGCACAAGCGTAAGCAAACAAAATTCTTTTTAGTGTATTGACCAAATTATTCGACGCACTATTAGATTCTGCAGCATCCTTTCTCTCGTTTCGGGTTAAATTCGTTTCCGGACTAAATTTTCTTCTTTATGCGCCGTTCGCTAGTTAAAAATATTTTAGCATTAACTAGGGCATTTATTATTTAGGACCTTCACTTATTATTTAAAATGTTATTTTCATACTATGCCCTTTTTGAATTTGTATAAATCAGTTTCATTCTTTGATTGTGTGAAATTTCGTAATTGTGTCTCCCTTTTTTGTTTTTTTAACATTTTTAATGACTTTTGATCCATTTTTGACCAAAGAGTCCATTGGCGAAATGAGTGTTGTTTTGGGTTTGATGGCGTGCCTACCTTGTTTCGACGCCATCACACTTATCAACTGTGTTCAAGAGTAACAGTGCGTACACGTCGTCATTGCATGCGTTGCTATGGCGACCGTTGCTGTTTGATACATTTTTTTAGAATTCATTTTTTTTCACTTTTAATTTTGTTGCGCATTAAGTTGGTGAGTTTGTTTTTGAGATATGAAAACCAGAGAGATCCCATAAATACTTCTTGAGTTGTGAATAAAAGAGAATTTCATCATTTGAGCGATATTTTAGTTTTTATTGTTTTAATTAAGAATCAGAAATTCTAACCTACAGTTCAAACTGGATCGTTTTCTATACTTATTCAGATTGTTGTCCAAAAAAAATTGGACAACAATCGTTTAGCCAACGGGTAACCTGTGATCGCCTTTAGTCGATCCCAATTTATTCTTTAATTTCATTAAATGCGGCTGGAAAAAAAATTTTTATTTCGAAAAATAATCACAAATTTTATAAAAAACAAAAATATCATTTTAAGTTTCGAAAAAATTCTTTGCTTTTTTTTTTAGTTGAAGTTCTTATGCACTTTAAAGCTTAAATGAGATAAATATGATATGAAAATAATAATTTTTTTTTTTTTGATTTAGCAACAATTGTTCTCTGGTAAGCAGTGATGCAAGGAGTATTTACCTCGCCAAAGGAGCCAGAGGTGGACACATTTCGCGCCAAGTAGTTCAGTGACTGAAAACAGGATCCAAGTAGTCATCTAAAGACAATAAGGCCTCTGCAATTCCCTTCTTCTCAAAGATAGTATCTGAACTGCAAACACTGCAAGACAAGGTCTTGCACTCGACAATCTGTAAAAAAAAAAAAAAATTAATTAAAATCCCGCAGATGTCTAAAGTCGATAGTTTACATTTGGGGTGGTCCATATTGACCAGTCCTATAGACACAGGGGTGGACTGGAGAAAATGAGTTTTTCTTATTGTATTGTATAAACGTATTATAAAGCTGTTGATATTTTCCTTCCCATATTCATGTATATGAATTTTAAGTGTGGATGTTATGAATCTATACAAATGAGCGTTTTACGACATTTTTACGAGCGTTAATGTTCGATGTGGTTTTGATGTATCGTGCCTGTTCCCTTTATCCCCCAAACATTCGATCGAATTCAGTTTTTTTTAAGAAAAAAGAGAGCTATATAAATCCCTTTCTACAAGTAAAATATGTCAATTTTCGCTTACACCACACCACCAAGAAGTTGCTTAAAAATTTACAGTTGCGTTGCATTCAAGTGTTACAGTTAAACCTGACAAGATGACCACCCTTGAGAGCTGACAGCTTTTATCCAGAACGGAATGGAACTACAGTCGGACTTCTGTTTAACGATTTTTACATTTTGCGATTTTTTTTTCCGAGGAACCAAGAACATTTTGGAAATTTCTTCCAAATTGCGAAGTAAATTTTCTATTTAACAAACTTTTCTTTTAGTTCCACTTTCCCTATATCCCAAAATATCTCTAACTTGTAAACACTTTATATGGGGAAAATGACTTTGAATTGATTTTCGAAGCCACTTAACTTTTAGAGAAAGCAATAAAACCCCTTTCCCTTTCTGTTTGCATTTCAAACGAAACACTCAGACAAAATTGACGAATTTTATCAGTAGCAATTAAACTAAAGAACGCATGTGGCAATGTATGTTTATAAATACAGCCATAATGTTACACATAAATGTAATAAATGCAGCCATAATTTTACACATAAATGAAACTTTTTTTTAGTTGAATATGTTACTAGCATGATAGTGTAACACTGGATAATGTTTTGCTCTATTCTTGCTTTCCATGCAGATTTCGTTCATGATTAAGATTTATAAAATAAATAGTAGATACTAGTTCACAAGATAAAGGCGTATCCATTGCTATTTAAATTATGCCTAGTGTTTATGAATTTAAAACCTGTTTTGGGTTGCTTAAGTATTTCAAAATGTGATTTTCTATTTAAGCAATTTTTCATGTAACGAACTTATTATTGGGATTGAGCGACTTCGTTAAATAGAGGTCCGACTTTAATCCTAAAACATAAGAGAAAGCAAAACCTTTGCAATTTCACCTTATGTCTATCTTGAATATTGATCGCTGAGTTAAGTCTATTTTATCTAAGGGTATCATTAAAAAACCATGCATAAGTTGAACGGGAAAAAAAATGAAAACATTTTCAAAGATATTTTTTACGTTAATTTGTTATAAGTCAGAATTTTACCGAATTTTTCAAATAGTATGAAAAACTAACCAAAACCATTTGAAAGTTCACCATATAAAAAAAAACAATTAACGTGTTATTTTTAGGGATAACATGATATAAAAAAACAGTGGCACATTCCTTTTATAAGTTGGTAACCTGCCTAAATTAACCACTAAATACATTACAAGTGATCAACTTACACAGATTTTACTGTACTGCATGAAGCACACTCTCCAAGTGGAAGAGTCAGTGCTTATCTATGACATCAGAAATATTGCGTGCCTTAAGAAGGTGAACTTAGAGACCAGTGCTTTCGAAGATTAATACTTTGTGTTATAACCGACGTTTGAACAGCCAATCCAGATATCAATTGTCCTCTCCATAGTCTTGTATAATTTGAACCCAACTTTTGGGACAAGAATTGGAGATGATTCGCATTCGTGAACGACATTTTGAATGAAACTAAGCCGCATATGCGTTGCGTGGTGAGAGAAAACGCGTTAACTTCTAATTGTTGGCCCAATAGCAAGGGGGATCATAAGATGCTGTAGGATTGTTTTATTTTAAAACAGTCGTTGAACAGCCAACCCAATTTAGAGTTCACGACTACTAATGTTCAACTCCGTAACCTTGCAATTTTGAACCCAATGCAGCAGACAACGGAACTCCTGGATTAAGTATCGGGAGAACATTGCCTTGTGGAAGACTTTTTATTGGAACTAATTAGCTTTACGTGGAGAGGAAAACTACAAAGACCTCTCACGGATAGACTGACGATTGGGGACTCTAACCCATAATCCGTCTGCTACTGAGACCTACCTACCACTAAGAATCGAACCCGGTTCACCTCATTGGAAGGCGAATTCTCTATCCCCTGACCCACCAGGCTCTGCTGTAGGATTATTAAAAAATTCAGTCTTGCAAATGTCACTAGTACTTTACAATACCTCAGACTAATGGGAAAAATTTATTATTTTTTTGCTGTTGTTTGTTGTTGTTTTTTTTTAAATTCAGCCTGATATTTTCTTAGACTTATTACAATCAGCCAACATGCCCTTAGACTAATTCGGAAGTGTTGATCAGTTTGAACCTGTCAGGCTTATTGTTATAAACATTTAATTAAATTGTGTTTTTTTCCGCTATTTTGGACTTATTGCAAACTACTTGAAATTAATCAGGCTAATTAAACAAAGGATGACACATTTTCTAGCTTGCCTAAAAGTAAGTAAGCTCACGGTAAAAGTGTTAGGCTAATTAAAAAAAAATATTGGAGATTTTTCCAATTAGCCTAATAATTACGACGATAATTAGTCAAAAGCCATATACTTCAAATAGCTTACGACCCATACGCTGTATTATTTCATGATATCACTCCGCGCTTCTCAATAAGCATGAGTTCTGTACTGGTTTATAAGCTTTACACACTTAATGTAGAATGTAACATATAAACGCTTCTGTGACTTTCTAGCAACTTCTTGTGTCTTGTGGCTTTGCGATTTGAACAACCCTTCTTATGTGACTGCTGTAAATAATAATTTATATTTATAATGATTTGATGTTGTCTTAAAGATGCAGAATGTATGGCTGACTTAAGATGTTTTTCCTAGTGTAATGTCTGAAAAAAAAGGTTACTTTGCGAGTTTTAATATCATAGCAATTTTATAAGAATTGTTTATATAAATATTGCATCTACGTATCAAAATAAAACTAACTTTTTTTTTATTAGTTAATCGGTGTTTATCGTAACCATTTTTCTTTTACCCATCGGCAAAATGGGTGTCGTTTTGGGTTTGATGGCGTGCGCCCCTTATTTAGACGTCATCACACTTTTAAACTGTGTTCGAGAGTAATAGAAAAGAGCTTCGTCACTGCATGCGTTGCTATGGCGACCGCTGCTGTTTGTAAAATTTATTAGAGTTCTTTTTTTCGCTTTTAATTTTGTTGTGCATTAAGTTGGTGAGATTATTTTTGAGATAGGGGACCAGAGAGATCCCATAAATACTTCTTGAGTTGTGAATAAAAGAAAATTTCATCATTTGAACGATATTTTTGTTTTAATTAAGGATCAGAAATTCTAACCTACAGTTCAAACTAGATCGTTTTCAATATTAATTCAGGTGAATATCACAAATAAAGAGAGTAGAAAAAATATTATACAGCAACCATTTTGCCTATGGGTAACATGTGTTCTCCTTTCGGCGATGAATTTTTTTTTTTTTTTTTTTTTTTTTTTTTTTTTTTAATTTTNTTAATTTTTTTTTTTTTTTTTTTTTTTTGTCTATTAAAGTCGGTTTTCGAAGTATTTTTTTTTTCTGCTAACGTTCCCTGAAAAAAACGCGTTAACATAAGGGACTCATAACATTCAGTGTCCAGCATTTGAAAAATTAATTACTGCAAATTCAAATTCTACACTACTGTATTTATCGTCTAAACTGAAACGAAAAAAAAAGATTATAAATGTAGCTAAGTAGTAAATGTTTAAAAAAAAAAAAAAAGACGTTTTTTGCTCAAATTTTCCATAACCTTTCCCTGTTTCATTCATTTAAATATGTATAAAAAATCTACTTCTGCCCAAAAATAGAATTTTAAAAAAATTTTTACCCACCTTTTTATTACATTCCATTTTTTCTTTAAATTCTATAGGAAGATTATTATATATTTTTTTTTCAAATATAAACTAATAAAAAATGTTGTAGACTACAAAAATTCAGGCCTAAAGAGAATAGAAGGGCTGGTTCACTCCTTTGAAGTAGCTCTCGCCGCGCCAATCCTCCGATTTTCTCTAGTGACGTCACTTTGGCGCAAAGCTCGCACTTTTACTTCAAGAACAGAGCGTTCGGCCTTACTAGCTCTAACTAATATTGGAGCATTTCTTTTTGCTAGATATTCTAAGACAATTGTTATTTTCTATAATGACTTTCCTCAGTTTTTGCAGTGAATTTACAAGAATTTAAAACTATAATCGAAATGCCAGTTTTCGCGATTGCAACTTGAAAAAATTTTATATAAAAGCAGAAGGAAAAAATATAATTTTCCGCGTGTTCCCTAAAGTAAATGAACAACTATGTAAAGAATGGATTCCGAAATGACACAGTTAATATAAAACAGCAATACGTTTATTCTGTCATTAAGAACTTTTACAACAATTCATTATCTAAATAGAAACCGCCTCGTTACTTCAAAAAGAAAGGCAGGTGAAAAAAATTTAAAAAATGGATAAAGTCAAAGAAAATTAAAATGTAAAAAAAAAGTATGAATAAAATATATAGTATATAGTTGGAATTCTCCTAATTTCATAACATATTTTTTAATGTAGTTATTCTAAATATTTATGATTTTTTTTAAAAATTATATTCTCTTAAATTTAAATATCTATAAATTATATCATCGTAAATTTAAATATCTATAAACAATTGTAAAGTTTCTAATGTCATTATGAACCTAAATTATTATTTTGTTTCAGTAATTAGCGTTTAAGGTTGATGTTTCCTAATGATTAAGTATGAACAAATTGCTATTAACGGCATATTTTAAAATCAGGGATTCTAAATTTAACACTACTTATTGTTATAAAAGAATATGTAGATAAAAAAAGTATCGATATATGCTTTCATTTTTCTTAATAATTAAAGTTAAAACTGAACTTTTTTAAAATAAAGTATTTATAGTGTCCTTTTCGCCAACTAGTAAAACATTTTTATAAGTTTAAAATGGTATTTTTTTAAATATAATGGCCAAGAAAGTTTTTTTGAACTATGTTTATGAACGGAAATAATGTGTTAATTACGTAAAGTTTGAAAGCAAATAACCAGAAAAAATCTAACTTATTTTTACAAAGAGAAAGATGCCAATTTATCATAATATCTTTGCTTGCGATCTCCGAGATCTGTGGACACAGTGACGTCATGAGGAGGGAAATCGTAGCTTCAGCTCTAAGAGCGGAGTGAACTAGCCCTTCTATTCTCTTTAGCCCTGACAAAAAATAAATATAAAGTAATTAATATATTACTAACTAGCCCAGTAAAATGAAAATTTTTCCAAAAAAGAAATATTTTTTAGAAAATCTTGGAAACCATGATGAAAAGGGAGATAAAGCAAAGGAAATTTTGATCTGTCAAGAGAATTATATTAGGTTGGCAACTAATGTTCAAAAAAAATTTTAAAGTGGGGCAGCATTCCCTTTTCTACACTATTAAAATTTTTATAATAAAATTCTGATAAAATCAACAGTCCGTCCATTCAATTAACCGTAAAATTTACGGGTAGGGGCTTTCCTTTGCTTCAAAACCGTGTATGGAGTACCTCTGTTTAAAACCGTTTGCAACTGGTATGGTTAAGAAGAAAAAAAACAACAGGAATACAAAATTATACAGTTTTGTAACAATATACAACTAGTTTGGTTTTAAAACCAAAAAAAATGAAATTTAACTGGAATTGGGTTTTTTGTTAGATAATAGGTATTGTAGTAAGGCTGTGGTTGAGTTGTGTTTTGTCAGGTGACTTGCAAAATGGGTCTTAATTATATTATCTAGTGGTGCCATCTATTTTGAGAAAAGGGAAATACTAGACTTTTTTGTATTAAGCAGCTGTGGTGCTGTCATCGATGTGTGAATTAGAGTTTCATGCTCCAATAACCCAGGGTCACTAATTAAAGAGTAAATCATACTGGAAACTCCTCACGCGTTGAAGGCATAGTGGAAATTTTGAATTTTCATCACTCGTTCAGCCCGTAATGAGATAGATTGATTTAACTTGTAGGTTACAGTATGTATAGTTTGTCCAAAGTAAAAACTCCCCTAGCCATTCGTCTGGACCCGTGGCTGTGAATATAGTGACGAGGTATAACTATTTCAAGTAGGGGTGTGGGGTCAAGTGTGGTTTAAGGCTTGGGTCGGCGAGAGATAGGGAATCTTTTTATTCAGTCTAATGTGTTAGCCCTAAGAGTGACGAGAAGCTATCTTCCCTGAAAGCGCTATTCTTGTTTCAATAGCAGCAGACGGCCTCAGACTTCGTGATGGGGGAGTTCTTACCATAGAGAAACTATACCCAGCTGAAAGGAACAAAGTGGTTTCATTAGTTATTTACCACACATTTATTTATATAAGATTGTTAAGGCTTCGATAATGAAAAGTAAAAATTTTAATTCTTAACCTTTAGATTCTTAACATTTAGCTGCTTAGCCTTTTGAAGAATGTGCTCACGATTTTTATTTACTGTTGGCCTAGTTGACGCAGATAATATTCTGGTTGTTTAACAGTTTTAGGTGAAAGCAGTTTATAAATGATTTTTTTCTCACAGTTAACAGTTTGGATACTATCTTTTTAATGGTTATTTGATTATTTTGGTTAAATATGGTGAAATAACAATTATAATAAATCGTCCATAATAAATAAATTGTTCACTGCACCATTTTTTCGGAAAAATTTCAAACAGTGTCTGTCGGCTCTATTGTTTGATAGGAATGTTCGTACAAAAGTTGGTTTAATCACTTCAACGACTTAACGGGGGTGTAAGAATAGCATCTTTAAGGTCAAAAATTCCATTCTTAAACTAGGCATACAAATCACGAGTGATTCCTTCAGTGACGACTACCTCTCCCTGCACAGCAGAAATGTCGCGAGCAGCTTTTACGGTCGTCAATACTTGATTGAAAACGACAACAAAAAAGGTGGTATTGAAAATGCTCATTTTTCGTGAGTTGACAGTCATTTTAATGATTTTAAAACTGACATAAATTAACTTGAACAAACAATATACAGTCGGACTTCTATTTAACGAACTTCCATTTTGCGAATTTCTTTATTTAGCAATTTTTTTCGAGGAACCAAGAATTTTTTGGAAATTTCTTCGTGAAATAACTTCCAAATTGCGAAGCGAATTTTCTGTTCAACGAGTTTTTCTTCACTTTCCCTATTTCCTAAAATATCTCAAACTTGTAAACGCATTATATGGGCGAAATGACCTAGAATTGATTTTGGAAGCCACTTAACTTTTAGAGAAAGCAGTAAAACCCCTTTCCCTTTTTGTTTGCATTTCAAGCGAAAAACTCAGACAAAATCAACGGATTTAATCAGTAGTAATTAAACTTAACGCAAGAGGTAAGTTATGTTTAATATTACTTTTATAATAAACGCAACAATAATTTTATACAAAAATTGAGCTTTTTTTAGTTGAAAATGCATGTAGCATGTACTGGATAATGTTTTGCTCTATTCTTGCTTTCCACGCAGATTTCTTCTATGGTCAAAATTTACAAAATAAATAGTGGATACTAGTTTACAAGATGAAGGTGTATCACTTGCTATTTTAATTATGTCTAGTGTTTAGGAATATAAAACCTGTTCTGTGTTATTTAAGTATTTCAAAAGGTGACTTTCTATTTAACAAATGTTCCATATAACGAACTTATTATCGAGATTTAGCGACTTCGTTAAATAGAGGTCTGACTGTATATATATTCTGCTAGAAAACAAAAGAGCCTCTTTCAAACGATCGAAAACGTTATGCCAAAAACGTTTAATGGTATGTGTAACGTTAAAATTCAAAAAAAGTGGCGGGAACTTAGTTGCCAACACAATATAGATTTGGAGGAAAGGTCCGGTAAATCTCAAATTGCTTAGCATTGTAACTTGCTTAAAAACATTTTATCAATGAACGTAAAAAAATAAGAATTATTATTTCATTACTTCCTAAGATTTTACACTGGAAAAGTCCCTTATC